GCATGGTTTTTTCCCACATCTTCTACAATCATCGTCATATTTCAGTCAATTTATACAAAACCTTAAAGAATTTACACCAAAACCTTCCTTATGAATCACTCCGTCCATTGGTGAAGACCGTATAAAAATCCGCTTGGTAATTTTTGAGGTTATCACGTTTAAACAGACAGACAGACGCGGCGGGTCTTTGTTTTATAATATGGAGCAATGTAAAAGTTCTTGTAAAATGAAAAATAAATTTTCAGTTGGCTGGATAGTAAAAATTAAACAAAAACGCGACTTTGTATAGGGGCGATCAACGAACTTGATTATTGTCATTTGAACAATGTTATATGAAGGTGAGAATTCATAACACAGCGCACCAACGATAGTATTATTATCGAAGCTATTGTCGCTTTTTAGACTGTTTTTCGCGTAGAAATTGAGAATTCTATTCTTATACATTTACAAGTCATAAAAAAATCTTTGTTGTTATTTGACATATTTTGTTCGATTCAATATAGATAATTCAATGGAAAGTTTAATTTTTTAAAAGAAAATTTACTTTTTTTGTTATTTAATGTCGTGCAAAAATGAACATAATAAGATGAGTAATCTCACTCATCCCGCATCAGTTCTATGGAAAACAAAAATGGCGTTTTCACGATGGAGAAATATACTAGCCGTCGCCCGCTTTGCTTTGCAGGGTGCAAGTAATTTTTTTTTGTGTTCAAAGTGCTTTATGTGTAGTGCTTATTCGCATAAATTAATATTTTATGATAGATAAAAAAACAAATGAATAAAAAAACTGTCATATCTTTTATTTTTATCGGTGAAGAGTGAGAATAAATAGCCTAAAACTATCTCCTTACTACTTAATGATTTTTCATTTTGTAAGCGAGACATTTTGTACTGAACACCATACGTTGCCATGGCAGCGCATAATTAATAAAGTAATCACGAAAACCTCCTTTTTAGAATTCTCCATTAGCGCCTTAGTTTTACAATCTTAGAGGATCATAAAATGTTAGCTTAGCTATTATTTTTATCATAAAATTAAAATTTTTGTATAATAAAACCATATAAATTAGTGTATGCATGTGGCATGACTAAGAGCATTTTTGTTTTGCAAGAAAAAGCGTTCTAATGGATAAGAATGGAGCATGCGCACCAATCGTATCTAAATACACGGTAGCTATAAAATCTTAATGGCATGCAGATAAAACAAACGATAGTTTCATTGAAGAAGCTATAAACACGTCTGGTATCGAAGCCGAGTAAAGGTTTTAATTAAGTAAGCGACGAATGACGATGTGCATAGAACATGGCGGGAATTCGCGCCATTTCGTGAACTGTCAAAACAAACATTCATTGATGGGGGATAGGGTTGTCAGAGGACTACAGTAGGAAATATTTTTTTAAATGTCAAAGAAAAAGTTGCCATGTCTATTTTAATTATGTTTATATATTAATTTAGATTTAAAAATTATATGGCCATTCCAAACCAATATTAAAATATATTATGGCGTATTAAATATTTTCTTTCTTATATATTTGTATCCTTAATAGTCTACAACATTAAATATACTTATTATTAGAGACAACCCTACTAAAATCTTATGAGATGTCAGTTCGTTCAGTAATGGACGCAGATGTTTTGTCTATTTCACGTCAGCGTCAGGGCTGCAGTTAAAATTATCATTGATACATTTATCTTCGCACTGGCACGATTTAAATTTGAATATTATTATTTTTAAGACTTAATCAAATATCTAAACTGAAAAAAAAAATGTTAGAGCTTTTGTAGAAATAACACGATCAACTAATGTTTATTTTGAACAAGCGGCTCTCCCTCGCTTCGTTCGGGTTGGCCTTTAGAAATACCAAAACAAATCTATCCCGCGCGAACCGTACATTTTCCGAGATTAAACGTAGCTTATGTATTATTCTGATGTATGAGCTATATTATTGTAAAGTTTCATTAAAATCCATTCAATAGTTTTTGCGTCATAGAGTAACATACTTCCATACATCTATACACCCAGACATGTATACATCCTCACAAACTTTCACATCTATACATATAATAAAATTGTAACTAAGTCGAATCTGTACATTAAATATTTTTTGGAAAATCTAATTGAAATAGACATTATTATCGATACAGAGTCCGAATCTTTAATTTATAGAATTTTTGTCTGTCTGTCTGTTACCGCATCACGAGAAAACCACGGGACAGATTTTGATGAAATTTGGTATGATGATAGCTGGTTATACGGGTTAACATATAGGATACTTTAAACCGCCCCCCCCCCCAACGTGCGTTCACCTTGTCGTGGTGGGGGGGCTCAGTAGTGCCCGGCAACCCAACCGGGCGCGAAGCCAAGAAACGCACAGGGAGGTGGCCCACTCCGGTGGGCGGTGGGAGGTGGCCCTATTCGGAGGGCAGTGTACCATGCGGGTTGCTCCTGGTACTTCTCTGATAGCAGAGTGGACTGTGGAGCAACCCCGTGGTTGTTGTGGTCTGCTTCGGCAGACCTGCCGTCGGGGCGTCGTAGTTGAATGCGTAAGCGATCCTGCGACGCCCCATTAAGACGGGGGAAGGTTTTGTTGGGTTTTAGTGGGTAGTACTGGCTTTGCCGGTGAGTCCCACACCTCGTGCGTAAATGCATTTCCCAACGTTAAAAAAAAAAAAAAAAAAAAATAGGATACTTTAAACCGCGGGAAAATATCTCATTTCTAAAAAAAATATACAAAAACTGCATTGTAAGAGTATACTAATATGTAAAACACAGAAATCTTAATAATAAGCTAATATTAAGATTTCTGTGATGTAAAACCTCAGAATTAGGTTTTTAGTCACCTGAACGCGGGCGGAGCCGCGAGCAATGCTAGTTATTAAATAAACTCTTTTACAAGCAAGGTTTTTTTAGTGTGTAACGATTATTCTTTTTATTTGGGAAGAACACGATATCAATGTTGACACTTTTATCAGTTTATGATAAAAATATATGAAATTATATTTTATACTTTTAAACATTGCGTCGTGTCGATTAGATATAGTTAGTTAGATATAGTTAATTAGTAACCAGACTAAATTCACATGAATTATAAATCCACTTAGAATATATTATCTTATTATTATAAACGTCAATAAAAATATCGATAAGAGTTGCGATTTTTGCTATAATATTTTTCTTTGTTTAAAATATTACGTTCATAGACATTTATTTTCGATTGTAAAAATATACTTAAATTTCATTATGATAATGATGCAAAAACACTATTAAATAATAAATAATATGAACGATTTTATTTGTTACATAATAAATCATTTTACTAATAATGTTTGTTAGGCGGCGTAAAGCAAAGTATTACATACCCAGTATTATGAGAGGAAGCATAAAACACCAACACGTTTTTCTCGGGTCGGGTACAAAAACACTGGCACGTGCTCAAACATAGCAAAATTACTAGCAAGTAGGCCGCAATCCAGCTCTCCTGACCCCCGCGTGCCCATTGACCCACCTTCCTCTGCCCAAACAAAGCTACGCAATCTATCTAGGGTGGGGTCTAGTTAAACTAGGCACATGCTTATGTACGTTTTCTCATTATAAACCTTTGTTTCGTGGCTCCTTATCTATATGGAAACTAATATATTTCTACATAAATATCGCACATGAAAAGTACTTTAAAATGGCGTCTTCTATGTCTCTCATTCATTTTAAGCGATTTTAAGTATGTTTAAAGTACTTAGTTATATAATCCATTTATTGTAATACGAGCAAGTTTCTTAGTCACAAAATAGTACAAGTAACGTGTGTAAATTAAAATAAATAAAATAATACTGTTTGTTAAATTAATTTAAATACACTTGCACTTTTAAAAACGTCAGTTCTAACATTGTACATAAACAGTAATTGTGGGTTAAGACTGTTTAACAACGCGTCACCGGGTGTGATCGCGTCTGGGGGTCGTCTGCGGCTGGCCGCGACCTACATAACCCTCCCCCGTCCACCACCCCCTGACCCCTCCCTACACAACACGTCAATGCTTACCCCCCCCCCCCCCATAACCTGCATTACGTAAGTTGGGTGAGCTTTTGACGAGTTGCTAGTTTTGCGATTGTTGAATGTAAAGCATAGAAAGTAATGATATTTTTTACAATACTAGGGTTTAAACGAACTGGTAATTAGTATTGATCGATATCAAGTTATTTCATTTTAACCTTCAAGTATTCATAATTTTATAAAACTGCGCGTGTATCTACATAATATATTAAAATAAATACATCATATATGAAAAGTAATGCAAAATTATAAAAAAAAATTATAAAAATTGACCCTAAATTCTGCCCTAACTAGATCCCGCGTGTCTTACGTAACTAGAGTATCACACAAAATACATTGAAATTAGTAAGGGATACCGTAGCATCGTATTAGTGGCAAATTAAAATTAGTTCCAGAGTTTAACTCCTCCACAAATGCCTTTATTATTATTTATTATATTAATCTGGCTTTATGACATCATATTCTTACAATATAATTTTCAAAGCTTAAAAAAATATATTTAATACTTTATAAAGTATTGTAACACACGATTATATAAAATTTATAAGGTAGTACAAAGTATATTGTTTCAATAATATTATAAATACTGTTATCTTATGTCTCATTTATCGGACACGATAGACTCTACAAATGCACCTTATCATTCGACTTTCACCTCGACGCAATAGTTGTTTTGCTCTATCATAACTTTCTTTGACGTCAGTGAGACGGGAACTAACAAACAATAATATTCTCTTGGGTGTTCATTGAAGTTACGATGATATAAGTTCCGTGTATATAATGTACATGGGATATGAACTAAGGAGCGTGGAGAGTTTAACAGCAACACCTATTATATGTACAATTTAAATAAATAATTCATAGCATTATTAGGAAATACTACGAAATTATACCTAAGATGTTCTAAATTGACTTAAACATATAATTAACTACATATTCTCTCGATTCCAGGTGTTGGAGACAGTCGTCTGCAAGCCAGAGCCGCCAGAGTCACCCCCAAAGAAGGCAAGAAGCGAAGAGTACAGCTATGCGATATATCTCGATCCATACGCTCACTTGCGGTATAGAACCGTACCGGCCTTCAGACCGTGGGGAAAGAGAGAACCTGAACTTCAAAACCCCGAACGAGTCGTCCGTGTGGCTGACTGCACTAGGTTCGAGCAGGACTTTCAGCCGAATGTAGCTTTAAAACCCTTGACACCCCCTGTGGATGATGTCACGTCATCCACCTCACCGCCTCCCTCAGACCCTGAACTAACTGCCAGGCTTCTAGACGCTGAAGCCAGATTATCTGAAAGAGAAAGACAGTTAGACGAGCGAGAAGCCGAATTAGCGAGGAGGGAAGCAAGGCTCGAAGAACGGGAAAGGGAGTTAGAGCAACGGCTCCTGGACCTAGAAGATGGGTCAGAAAAGCCCGAGCCCAACGCGTCTCCAACAGAACCGCCGCCGTGTTGACCAACGCGAGTGATAGTTAGGCGCTTTTGTGAAAGAACGCTACATACGAGTACAAAGTGACTTTTGTTACGTGCCGTTGTAAATTGCCGTTGTTTTTTTTTCAATCTTTGATACAACCGAGTCTATAACATACATTTACAATTAGAAATAGCTTCTGGATGTGTACAACTTGAAGTACAGTTTACTGAATTTATTAAGTTTTTTTTTAATAGTTTACAGTTTTTCTTGTAGTCTCTTCATTGTGTGCCATTCGAAGGTACGACTGTTACCTTTTGTATAACCTCATCTGTGCTTTTCGATATAACGTAATACTCACCTTATGTAAAATAGTTTTAAACCTACAACCGTAAGCATAATTTATACAGGGTTATTTTTAAGATTAACTTACGATATGCATATATTTCCTTTCCCTTCTTGTTACCAAGTAGACTGTAGTATACGATACATTCACACACAAGAACCCGGTTTCATCGAATAACTCTGTATAAAAACCTCAGATATACCAAATAACAATAATTAATAGAACTTTCTAAATAATTTTCATTCAAACAAACGTACAACTTACCTCTGAAGGTTGTTAAAAATTAAATTTTCATGGCGAGCGACTTCAGTTAAAAATTGTTATAATAAGAGAATATAAGAATATTGTGTTGAAATTGAAAGCATACACTAGCATTAACAAGTAAGAAATAATTGTTATATACATTACAATTATTGATATAATTGATAAGCTATTCTTGCGATAGTACCTAGAATCATCTAAATTAATGTCGATCACGTCGGCCTAAGTTTTACGTAAACCTATACAAAAAATTAGAATAAAATCGCTTAGAATACGTTTATTAAAGCTGTCATAATATAAAGTAAGGGTTATACCCCACGTTCTACCTCATTGTATATAAAATATTTGGCTAAATAAGAAAATTGTAAGCAGTTTCTCATTTAGGGCTACCTGATAATTTTGGGTCTGCACTTTGGAGCAATAATTGAAAATGGAACGATGTGAATCATCACTGCCTGAATTAATTCTATGTAACAATTAAACATTGGATTGCATAAGTTAAATTAATAATTATTGTATACGTGTTCATGTTTTACTAGAAAAATATGAGCTAAAATATCATCTGAAGCCATTTTCTATCATAATTTGTTAAAAAAGCTTTGCTCAAAATATGATGAAAATATTACTCCAACATTCTAAAGGCCTCAATATTTATAAATACATGCAATCCGATGTTTATTTATGATTTTTCTGTCTATTTAGAATTTACATTAATATATATTTCGCAAAAAATCGTTCGTACCGAATTTCGTCATAATGAAGTTAGTTCATAGTCTTTTTGTCATCACAATTTAAAATGTTTATACGTCATATGTAACGGCGGTTTTTTTAGCATTTTCTATTTTATTTTTACGTTTTTTATCCAGAATATATACCTATGTGTAGTTTTCACTTTGCCAGTAAGAGTGCATTTTTAATTTTTTGCGACTGAGCAAATACTTTTTGTAAACGTGTAAACGTATCGTTGCGGAGAGCAACTTGTGATTTTCTTAGATGTTTAGAAGCCTTATTTTTCATTGTGATCAATTGTTAACATTTAACACCCCTACGTTCTAAACCGGTTTTATATATTTTATTTAAATTTAGTAAATTAAACGGGGCGTGTATAATAATTGTAGATTGGAATACAATCTGAGATTTATCGAATAAAATTTTCGATTTTTACTGTTCTACATAACAATGGCGGCGCTATTTCGATTTCACCCAGTAATGTGGCCTGGGCGTAGACTTAAAATGTGAAATGAGATTTCACTTTTGGAAGCGACTGTTTTATAATTTGGCAAAGCTCAAATGTGTATAGACACTGTTTTTCTTTAATATATTCCTTTCAGTGTGCTGTTACGTTGTAGTTAGTTGTTACGGTATTTCAGTACTAGATAAGATCGTATCTCTAGTCAAGAGACTTTTCGAGAAAAATTAATTACCATTTACTTTTTAATATATATATTCAAATATGTACCACAGGCGCGTGTAAGAATAACTTATTTTAAACATTATTAAATAGACTAATTAGCGAACTGTATGTCGGTATGTGTATAATAAGGTGTTAAGTATGAAACTTTTCTATCAGTACAGTTGTTGATCAAGTATTTTGGTGCTATAATAATTTTGGCTTAGCTAACTTAGTGATTAATTGTACATATAATAATATAATTTTACTATTTATTGGCAACTATTTCGTTTTGGTGTTGGTTTTTAAAGGACAGTTAATTTTTTTTAAATTTTTATATAAGAAATTTATAAAATACATATTTATTATGTTTTGGAATGAAATATGGCTTAGCCATTTCGCTGTCGTAAAAGTATATAGTTTTTTTTTCATAGAAAATTCAAAACCTTTTTTACATGAAGCTGACGTTGCTCAGTCGAGATTTTCAAAGTATTTGATTCCAAAATCTTTATATATATCGTGTTCGCAATCTGTTATAATAAAATTAACGCTTTAATCCTTGTGTAGGTTGTAACATAATTTGTCGATGGAAAAGTTTCAAAATTCTCTCACTGTCTTATAATGTGGTGCTAAATGTATGCCATGATCTATGGTATAAATTGTCATTTTCCATATGAATGTACGAAGGTGTAAAGTTATACGGCCAAAAGCAACTCCTTGTTTTTTAAGACTCAATAGGTTGTATTATTTATTTTGGGATTCTTCTGTTCATATTTTTAATGAAGAGACAGTGAGAGTGTTCTTATGTAAATAAAACTTATGTTAATATGATACATTGTGAATGAGTGTAAGGCTGTTTTAACCCTAAAATAGCGGGAGCGCTAATAACCCTGTGTCTAAATATTTTTTTGAAATTCATATGCTTTTTTACTTAATTAAACTTAATATTTTAATATTTATGTCATGATACAAGATTGAAGATGTACAATCTATTAAAATGTCTTTATAAGGCAAATGATTTAGATTAGAACTAATTTTCTTTTTATTATGTAAAGGAAAAATTCCCTTGATTTTTTTGGTTTTTAAATTTTATTTGTTACAATGTTTTTAAAACATGCTTTTATTTTAAATATTTATAAAGGATGTCCGGAGCAGGGTTAGGCGCGATTGGTGATTTGCCAGGGTATACTATACTCCTGTGATCTCAATGTGTGAATGATAAAAATACGTTCAGTAAAATGACAGTCGCAAAATGAATAAAACTTTATTATAAACCTTCTATTTTTATTTACAAACGTACATATTTTTATAATTTAAATATTATGATGAAATATAGCGTGTTTTGTCTTAATGTAATAACTTAATCTTTTACTTATTGCCTTGCTCTGATTGGTGAAATCATGGAACAGATTAAATATCTAAAATGAACGTCAGTTAATTGATTTTATTTTGATAATCGATATTTAAGAAAATATTAATCGATTTATCATAGTGTTATATACAACTGATTAGTGATTTAATATATTTTATTGAATGCGGTAAAGCCTTGTGCCAATAAAGTGCTATGTTTAGAAAATGGAAGCATGGCAATATGTAAAAGATGAAGAAATCGATCTTCCATTGCCGTTTTCAGCTTTTATTTATTTTTTCTTATAGCGCCATCTTTTAAAAGAGTACTTAAATTAAAAATGTACTTTATCTTGCCAAAAAAATATTAGAATAATGGCTTAAATGATCTTTCTTTTGTGTTAAAGACGAAGACAATGGTTTGATTCAATTATAAATGAAGTCGAGTCAAAAACGCGTTAACGTGAGGTATTATTTTTACCAAATATTTCTTGCCTCGTCAAAGTCTGATTTAAATCATCTAAATTATAATTCTTAAAACAGTATTAAAATAACATAAGAAATTGAATCAACAGATGGCGCTGTATGGAAAAATGTACATAAAATAAAGTTTTTTGTTATATACATACATAATATATTCAGTTGCGACTGTATTATGAGTTAATGGAAACTTGTTTATGTACTGTGTGTGTTTATATCAGAAGCTATTTTATCTAATCCAATAAAACATTCCTGCTTATGTTTTTTGGATTGTCATAGAACATTTATACTTGATCCTGTATCGTGCCAATAGTGGAACACTATCTAATGTCATCCCAATATTTATTATATCATTAAAAATGAAATTTGATCAATAAAAATGATCATTATCTGCCAGTAGAAATAAGATGGTACACAAATGGCCCAATATATGGATCGGGTCATTTCAACAAAACGACAGATTTTAATATAATGTACCTGATATTTAGAGGGTTAAGATACTATATAAATTTAAATTCTGTTATGCACACACATATCGTAACGTTGGGTTTCGAAGTGTGTTTTTATCGAAAGCTTATGACCTTGTGGAGCAATAAAATGAAATCATTTTCACTCAGTGTATTTGTTTTACCCTCTTTATCTAGTTTTAATGTGTACAGATCATTATTTATATATTATTTTTTGTCTATATTTAGTGTAAATAGAGGTCCTTTAATAATAGATATTAAATTATTAGTAAAATAAAGTAATTGTTTTTGAATTTTATAAAACAAAAAATTTACCTTAATCAAAATATTTATTTAAATAAACCAGTTATTGAATTGAAACAGCAAATACTATATAATATTGGGTAAAGGTTGGTTTTATCCAAAATTTAATTATTTGTGTCATGATTTGATGCTTTTGAGCCTGGTTAACTTGACCTAAATGTAAATGATCCTATTTCATAGAGTACCATAATGCAAAATGACCGAAAGATATGTATAATGATATATCCAAATTTTGACTGTTACGTTGGTTTAGACGTCAGCTTGTACGGCTGAAGATAGTGGGGATCCTGGGTTCGAGTCCCAGGCCGGGCCAAAACAGTTACTAGGTCTTTCAATACTTCCCTAGCTGGAAACTGCAACATCACATACTTAAAAGATGCCCTAACCCGACAAAGAGACGAGGCAACATCTCTAATAAGTAAGAATAATTCGGTGGCTAACTGTTTAT